CGTGCACTCCTCCAGGGCCAGGGTAATCGCCGTCCACTACGTGTACACCACCATGGTCGGGGTAATCGCTATGTTCAACCACAAGGACATCGCCACTCCCATCCACCACATGGACACCGCCGTCGCCGCTGTGCTCGACCACATTCACACCACCGCATCCATCAACCACCTGGAAACAAAGATGATCAAGGAGATATACTTTGGCGTTTCCGTACCGTTAGTTCTCTACCGATTTAAATGAAGTAAATGGTATTGTAAGATACAGCCTTTACACGTGCCACGGCTGAACACGGGCTTATTCTTATATCTGAGAGGATTTAAGGGCAAGGCTATGTTTTTATATCTTAAACTCTTTTGTGTGGCTATTATTAATGTAATAGTTAAGACTGTTTAATTTGTATTATTATATTTAATGTTACAAATGGTTGCAAAAAACATCATTACAGTTCTTGAAAACTTAAGTACATCTAGGTATAGATCGTAATATATTTCCAATAACTAAAGACGACGGTAACAACAGTGTTGCCACCTCAATACACGTGATTACACCTAAAGCACAATATTCAAACACAAACATGCATGTTTCCTCCCGATGTTTTCCTTTGCCGTCTAGCACTTGGTAAATCAGTATTTACTTAAAATTATTACAATTATCAATTTCGCTGGTGGTGGAATTGAACCTGGGCTACGCGCGTCCTGTGCAATTTACAGCGGGCTCTAACGCCTGAGCTTTTTTTTATAGAACAATGGTGACAAACGAGCATTCAGTCCATCTGATAATAAGTGGATGACGTGGCCCATAGACGCCTGTATCTACCCTCGAGTAAGGATCAAAATGCAGATGCGTTTTCACCCCCGAGGAATGCCTCATTTCCAGTGAATGGGGTCTCCGGTTCTCTAGACTCACCATAAGAAACACAGCATTATTAATATGCTACTTTACGCTGGTATGTATCAGCGTGGTCTTTCCCCAGTCAAAGGCGACCCATTCATGCTACAACGATAATATAGCCGCATCTTAGCTCTACCACGTATAATAAAGTTACTACGCTCCAATTTCAATAATAGGTTATCAATTCATCATACATTTCCTAGATATCTTCTAGTTACAAAGTTCATGATGAACTTTATAACGACTATTAAACGACACAATGAAGTTGTTACGATGCGCGCGCACACCGAAACCTAAGAGCGACAACTTCAGTTGGTAATTGTGTGTCAACTGACAAGTTTTCTTGAGAACCGATAACTAAATTCAAGGTAGTTATTTAAATATATACGATTCTATAAAACGTGTTTTATTTTAGTTATTTTTGTTTGTAAGATACACACACGTTTTTTTTTAAATGAACTCAAAAATGAACTTTGAGTGCACTTGATGGTAAGTGGCTACTGCAGTCCATGGATTCCTGTAGCTAACTACAGACAAAGAAGGCTTATTGTCACCTCTGAGGGCTAAGAAAAGAAGGAATGCCTTACAGACTAAAATTATAAATGCTCTCTATACTCTTTATACGGGAACACAGCAGTGCTTGCTATTTGGCTTCTGAACCTCCCCCCCCCCCCCAGCTCCGCCTGGGCGGGATCTATTAATGTGGCGTCATTTAGATTTTTTTAAATATAATCATCAATGACTATTTTTCTTATCTATTTCACAAAAAAGCTCCAAAGTTTTTCGGATAGCTTAAATCACTCCTGATTGCTTCTCTATCTGTTCGTGAAGTTTCATCATGATCAGAACAGACAGACAGACAGACAAAAATTTTGCAAATGGTTATTTACGTCTTAATGCCATGCAAATAACCCAATGAGCTCGATAAAAGGCAGTTATTTTGATATTACGGACCGATACTTCAGTTTTGTTTATAAGCACAGATTTCAATCGAAACACAAATAGTCAGTAGTTATAACATAGTTCTAAAGTTAAAAGTATAATGCTGTTCAATAGAACTGCAGTAGATACTTAGCTGTAGCAAAAAGTCAACATGCATGATAAAAATACATAACATATTGAGAGAAACACGTAAATTATTGCAGTGGTAGAGCCATGCTGCAGCTATATTAATAGTATAGTTGTAGCACGAATGGGTCTTCTCGACCGGGGAAGGATCCCGCTCTCACAGAATACCAGCGTAAACTAGCAGCTTAGTGCTGCTGTGTTTCGTATGGTGAGTGTAGAGAACCGGAGACCCTTTTTACTGGAAAAGAGACATTCTATCTTAGTCCTCACGGCTGACAACGCATCTGCTTTTTAATTCGCAAACGAAAATAGATGTAGATATCTATGAGCCACAGCAACCACTTACCATCAGGTGGACTGTGTGCTCGTGTGTCACCCTTATTCTATAAAAAAAAAATGCTTCTATCGAATATGTCTTGATGACAATAGGATTGTAAAAGGAAGTGTTATTTCTGTGTATGTATATTTTTATATATTTGGTACAGAAATAGGTAAGAGGATGGTATGGTAAGCTATCCAGATTCCAGACAAATTCCTAGGTAGAAAAAGAATCTTACCACCTAACTAGGGTAGTATTAATATATAATATATAGTATCGAACTATATTTCAGTAATTTGTACTATATATATTAAAGAAAAATAATATAGTACGAAAAATACTATATTATACCCCTAATTCCACCGTCGCGCTTTTTATATTAACTGTGACTGGAAGTCTGGAACAAGTAACTTTTACTGAAAGAATTTTTCTGTCATCAATGTAAAATGGAAAGAAGAATGAAATAGAGCAAGTATTAAAAAAAATGAATTGTAATTTATTTTAATATGAATCCAAATTGCTTAGATTACTATAATTATTTTAAAGGTAGGTAATAGATGATAGATGGCCTAAGTGAATAGCAATAACAAATATGTATATGGAAAACTACCTAAAGATTAAAAATAAATGTGTGCTTTTTTTCCTCAATTTCTCAAAAGTACTATATTTTGCATCATTTAAAAAAGTTAAAAAAAGGTGGCAACCCTAACCGGATGCCATTAGATTTTTCCAGCACTATCCATAGTCGTCTCTTAATACATCAACGGAACGAAATTATGTGGTGAATTCTCTTACTCCGCTTCCACACGGCATATTATAATTATTGAACTTTCTTGAAGTGAAAATTTCAAGGCCGCGTCATTAGAAATCTTCACGAAAACCGTCATGAACGTGACGCTTGCATCACGCATACGTTAGATTAGAAAGAGATAGAATATTATTTTCTCTCCTTCTGAGTGTAATATTATTATTTTTTGGCAAATAAAAGTTTTATATACATATATATTGATACATGTATAAAAAAATAACATTAAATAATTAATAATAGATAATTCTACCAGTTTGTCACTTTTAGAACTATTAACCCATCTCGGTATATGAAATCTGACTACTTCACGTAACTCATTTCGATAAGTCTCCGGGGCTCCGCTAAGATCTTGGAGCCCAAGCCAACACCGCCTGCACGTGGCGCACCTGCTGGACAACGGAAAGGGCTCTGGCGATGCCACTCCTCTTAATTTCGTCCTAGGGGTTCGGGGGTCAGACGGCAGTCGCCCCGGTAATTGGCACTAAGCCACTCAAAAATGGAAAGTAAAAGAAAGAGATATACGTTTAGGACTAGGGCGTCGCCGCATAACGACGCGCATGGGGATCGCCTTAACCCTGCGACAAGTATGCGAGGGCTAGCGGGCCCCGTGCGAGCCCGGCTAAAGACGTTAGCACCAACTACAAAGATTCGCTTTGCAAACTGGAACATTAGCACGCTTACGGGACGCTCCGCAGAACTTGCGGCCATACTTGCCAGGCGTAAAGTGGCAGTGGCATTCCTGCAGGAGACACGGTGGAAGGCCAACAGGAGCCGGAATATTGGGCACGGCTACAAGCTGATCTATACAGGCTCTTCTGGTGGGAAGAACGGTGTGGCAGTGGTGCTCGCCGAGCATTTCCACGATAGCGTCTTGGATGTTAGACGTATACGCGACCGACTTATGGTAGTAAGGTTGCTTATTGAGGGGGTCGTGACCCACTTAATAAGTGCCTACGCCCCACAGGTCGGCTACAGCGACGCGGATAAGACGCTGTTTTGGGATCGGCTCGGAGATGTACTACGCGGCATACCGTTGTTCCACGATGTCGTTTTGGGTGGCGACCTGAACGGTCATGTGGGCGAAGTGCAGGGGGAGTATGAACGTGTCCACGGCGGCTATGGTTACGGCCGAAGAAACGCAGAGAGAGAAATCATTCTCAGAACCTGCACTGCAGCTGACCTGGCCGTGGTGAACATGTTCTTCAAAAAGAAAACCGAGCACCTGATTACCTACAGGGGCGGTCGGAACGCCACTCAAATCAACTATCTACTGACCAGGAGAAGTCATATCAGTCGCGTGGCCAACGGTAAGGTCATACCCGGTGAGTGTCTCACTGCCCGACACCGACTTCTTGTCATGGACCTCTGTGTAAAACCCCGTCGCAGACACGCCGAACGTTGCCGCCGTTAAATCAAGTGGTGGCTGCTGGATCAAACCAGATACTCAGAGTTTGACTCTGCCGCTGGGGATATTAGTCTCGACACAGCAGGCAAGTCCGTCCAAGAGTGCTGGAAAACCATTCAGACAGCAAACACAAAGACGGCAAAGCAAGTTCTTGACGTGGCGAAAGGGGGCCGCAAAATCGACAAGGAGACCTGGTGGTGGGACGCCACAGTCCAGGGTTCATTACGGGAGAAGAAAGCGCTCTTCAAGACGTGGCAAGCGACCAAATCTCCTGAAGATCGCGCATCTTACAAGACAGCGAAAAGAGCTGCCATGAAAGCTGTAGCCAGAGCCAGGCGTGACCACTTGCAACCATTATATGCTAAGTTGGACACAATCCTGAGGGGCACAAGCTCATATATAAACTGGCGCGCTCTAGGGCCAAAGCAGCGCAAGATATTACTCGCTGCTGCAGCGTCAACGGCCCTAATGGCAAGCTCCTGTACGATGATCGTGCGGTGAAGGAGAGATGGCGCTCTTATTTCCACGTTTTGCTGAATACTCAGCACCGGGAAGTGCACCCTCCAGAAAAACTCCCGAACTCGTGCCACCGATTACACCTGACGAGGTCCTCGCATCTCTTCGTCACATGGAGAATCGGAAAGCTGTCGGACCGGACGAGGTGCCAATTGAAGCGTGGAAATCGCTGGGGGCTCGTGGTGTGTGCATTCTTACTAACCTTTATAATAGAATCCTGAGCGACCGAATAATGCCCGATCAGTGGCGGCTTAGTATAATAACGTCGGTCCACAAGGGTAATTACCGCGGTATAAAAGTGATGTCACACACCATGAAGCTCTTCGAGCGCATTATTGACACCAGGATCCGACAGCAGTGTACAGTGTCGGACTCCCAGTACGGTTTCCAACCAGGACGCGGTACCATGGACCCTATATTCGCCCTAAGGATCCTCATGGAGAAGCACAGGGAAAAGAATATGCCTCTGCATTTTTTATTCCTAGACCTGCAGAAGGCCTTTGACTGTGTTCCTAGGGAGATGATTTGGTGGGCGTTGCGGTCGAAGTTGGTACCGGAGACCTACGTGGAAATCGCACGTGACATGTACCGCAACTCCGATTCAATAGTCAGGACCGCTGTTATGATACCACCCCCTTCCCCATAACCGCAGGCGTGCATCAGGGCTCCGTCTTAAGCCCCTATCTCTTCAGTGTGATATTAGACGAACTGTCAGCCAGCGTACAGAAACTACCGCAGCCTTTGCTGCTTATGTACGCTGATGATATCGCACTGGTAGATGGGGACAAAGGACGGCTCACCAGACGCGTGCACGCATGGAGGGTGGCGCTTGAGAACGGCGGGCTGAAGCTAAACGTGGCGAAGACGGAGTATATAGCCTGCAACAGCACAGATCTAACATCTCTCCGTATAGGCGACGACACCGTCGGGCGCACGGACAACTTCAAGTACCTCGGATCTGTGCTTGATGCGTCCGTGGACATCGATCGCGACATCAAGGCCCGTATATCAGCGGCTTGGGCGAAATGGCGCGAGGTGACGGGTGTCATTTGTGACCCCAAAATGCCGGTCAAGCTGAAGGGACAGGTCTATAAGACCATCATAAGGACTGTCCTTACGTACGGCAGTGAGGCGTAGTCCGTGCTGGAGCGACACCGGCAGTTGTTGCATGTCACGGAGATGAACATGCTGCGATGGATGTGTGGCGTCACGTGGAAAGACCGTGTCCGGAATACATACATCCGCGGCAGCCTCCATGTCCGTGACATTGCTGACAAGCTGCAGGAAAGTCGCCTCCGCTGGTACGGCCACGTCTTACGACGACCGGCAAGCTACGTTGGAAACAAATGCCTGGACATGACCCTACCTGGTACTAGGAGTAGAGGACGGCCCAAGAAACGCTGGTTTGATGTCGTGCAGAATGACATGCGCGCCTATGGGCTAGTTGTGAGGGACGCCGAAGACCGGGCAAAGTGGAGGAGGAAGTGTAGGAAAGCGGACCCTGGGTTCTCCCGCGCTGGGCGGGATGAGCAACCGGGATAAACGCTAGGTAGAAGAAGAATAGATAACATTACACGTGGGTTTAGAAAATCTAACCTTATTTTAATTTTGAAATATAAATATCTAAAGAAGTTAAGCCTATGTTCAGCAATGGACTTGTTAAGGGCTGTATTGATGATGATGATGATAATGAATAAAGTTTCACTTCTAACACGTGTAATCTGTATACACTCTATGGTACACACGCATTTTTTTGTACCCGTTGTACATCTGCCGCAATTTTTAGAGCAGATAGTACTCGTTTTAAATTTTAATCATTCCGAATTTCAAGATCAACCATCATCGTACCATCAACAGGTACACTGGAAATAAAACTTTAATAATCATTAGAAAATACGATGGTCGAAACAGTGACGTAGCAAGGGGGGCGGAAGTGCCACGGCTCCGGGCGGCTGAAATGAAAACTTTATTTTTTTATTTTAGCAATTTCGTTTGTAAAACACCAGCATATTTTTAATCTACTACCCTTTCAAAATGGGGTTCCTCTGTCTGGATAAGAAACAGCAAGAGAAACTCCCGATATATCCACCTTTTTGTAATTTTTTTAAAGGTCAATCATATAATTACCTTACCGTGTAGTGGCGGTGTAAGAATATCCACTATCCCATATCATCCCGTGGATGTCGTAAAAGGTGCTATACGGAAACAAATCAGGAGATCTGCAGCAGTGTCTTCTTAATAACGACTAAAAATAAAAAAAATCTGCGGTTGCCGACCCGTTTGCCAAGCGTGGCAACTATGGCAAATATAGGGTATATTTGAAATATAGGGTAAAATATAGGGTATCTATGAAGCATTCTATAGAGGAGGCCTATACTCAGCAGTGGACTTTAATAGGCTGTAACGGTAATCATATAATATTCTTAGACACAATTTAAAAGGAATATTATGTCAAAGCATGTATTCTATGATAAAATAACGCAACTTAACAAAATAATATAAATATTTAAAACTAATAAACGTATTGAAAACCAGTCTCCATAACTACACCTGATAAAAAGTAAGACGCATGTGCCGGCTATTAACGCCCTCCACGACCATTTTAGAGGGAAGTGGATGACGCGACATTATATCCACTCTACCTTACACTAAGATGTTGCTTTATACAATTTAAGGGGCGGCATTTTCGGAAGGAAAGAAAACCTTTTTAACACGATTTTATTAGCTTCGCCTGTATCTATCTATCTATGTATGTAACGGTATCTTTTAATGTGATCTTCACCAACTTGTAGACGGCCGATTGGAGCACTCGTATCAACGACCGATAACAATACCATAATTTAATAACTTTATCGTAATTATGATCGCGAGGATAAAATAAAATAATCCGCTTAGGATTGATGCGTGTTGCTTTAGGTTTTTCTAAAGTCTAATATGGCAGTAATAAACTCAAAATATTTGAAAGTTTACTCTTTAATAAAATAATTACGAACGCAATAGCATTGCAAGTTCTGAAAATATAGATAATCTGTAGGTACACATGCTCTTGCCTAGGTTAGTTATATCATAAAAAATTACTTATACATTTATGGTCTTTTTAAGCATATACAAGAACTTTAGAAAAGTTTAACTGGTCTTATTCAAATATCTATTTTTTAAATATTTCGAGAAGAGAGGCCAGGCCAGAGGCAGACCCTTAGAGGGCAGCTACCCATGCTACGCTATTGCGTCGAAAAAGTAAGGATTACCTCCTGATTGAAGATGATTATCCTACCTGAACCCCATTGTCACCATCCACTACTGATACATACTCCGACATTTTGCGATGTATGCGTTTGACACAGACGACACTTTCTATCGAACTGGACAATGCTGCGTAGTTGTATACCAAAATCCCTGTTAGAAGATAACGATACTTTAAGCAAACACGAAAAGTTTGGACTCCGTTCAATTTTCACTTACGCTTCTAATTGAATATTATTACAGATTTATTAACTGAACAATTGTATACGAGCTTTGTTTGTAGTTTTATGAAATAAGCATTTGCCTTGATGCCGCATCGCGTTTAGCGTCTTAACGTAATAAAATATTTCTTGAAGACACCTACATTTTAATCGGATGAATTGATAGACACCGGCTAATTATTCTAGTGTGGTTAATTAATGCTAGGTAGTAGAGATGCAATGATCATATTGACAATATACAATACAAATTAACAACTCACTAGGGCAGTGACTAAGCATTTGGCTGCAACGTTGCGGGCTACGTTGGCACGCAACAAGTGTATGAATGCATTATAAATAATTATCACTTGCAAAACATGTATGTAAAATGCTTCCACGATACAGGAAGATAATTATTATGGTCCATTACCATTAGCCACTCAACCGTCCGCCCCGCGCCAATGATTCTCGCCTGACCTGTCAGTAGTGTAGTTGTACCACTTCTAGACCACCTGAGTCAGACGTGGTTCAACGACGTTCGTCGACACCCGATCCTAAAAAAAAAAAAAAAAAGGTTTTGGCATGCTCTGATCACGAATCCGCGGTCCATTTTTGTGTAGAATGCACGGTTCCGGAGATGTGTAGATCAATTAGCTAATATCTAATTGATATCCGGTAAGGGCCTCCACCGTCATTAGCGTCCCATTGTTGTTCCTATTTCTATTGTTCTATTGTTCATTAATCACCTTCATTGCAGCGTGTGCGTCGACTATATCAGTGCTATTGTGTTATAGTTCTTTGTTCCTAATTATACAACGCTAATCTGAATCATCAATAAAACACATTACATAATTTTGTTACAATTTTTATTTATAAAATACAAAATCTTATTAATTATTATCTATAAAATAGGAGCGAAACATCTCATCCACTAAAATATCGTTGTACAATGTGTTCCTTGTAAATATACTCGTAAAACTATGTATTGAACATCCTTGAAACTTATATAGCAAATACATTAAGCAATATTCGCCACAAACTGAAGTCCACTCATTCTGAATCCTATCAACATTCCAGTTCCATCTTTTACAATTCCTTTTTAAAAACTCTAGATGATATCGTACAGGTGATCGTCCATATGAATCAAAATATTGACCGACGTCATTCGTATCGATATATAAAGCTACCCAATGTGACCCTGGTTTATCATCTGTATCCAAATTACATATTATATACGTTGGTACGTGGGTATACATAGGCAGTCTATTAGCTGCATAAACATTATTTTCTAGACTGGGGTGAATCTTTTTCAGATGTTGTTGTACATCTAGTGTATCCATGATATTACTGCTATTAGTAGATTATTACAGTACCTAGCTACTCAATGAATAACATAGGAATGGTCAATTATAGTGATTTCTACATATTAAATTGCATTTTTGTGATATACAAATCGTACTTGAGTCATTGATCACCAAACAAAACACAATACGAAGAAATGTTGAGATAGGCAACGGAAATGTGAGATAAACTGATATGTTTCTAAATATTAAATTGCATTTTTGTGTTATACAAATCGTACTTGAGTCATTGATCACCAAACAAAACACAATACGAAGAAATGTTGAGATAGGCAACGGAAATGTGAGATAAACTGGTTGACACATAAAGTAATTATCAACTCATTACGGAAATACTTTAGATTAGAATTTTTACGTACTGGTGGTATATAAGACCAACAAACGCAGTCATCGAGTTAGTGTACGGTCGTTTGGCTACAGTGGATCTATCAATAGTACATTTGTGTTACTTCAATACACCAAAGGCTATGGATGTAAGTGTTTATTCTATTGACTAAATTACTTTTTTTCTGTTATTTTCATGTGTGTGTATTATTTTATTTAAATATTGTGTATGTATATGATTAAGCCGTGGTAACTCAGATGGTTAGCGCTAGCTGTAAATTTCACAGTACGCGACCCGGGTTCGATCCCCGCCAGCACCAATTAAATTGTTAATAGCAATTTTAAGTGCTTATTACCACGTGCTTGGTGGTGAAGGAAAACATCGTGAGGAAACCTGCATGTCTGAGAAAATTTCGAAGGCATGTGAAGTTCGCCAACACACATTGAGGGAGCGCGGCGGACATTTCCTTGCTCTAAAACCCTCTCAGAAATGAGAGGAGGCCTATGTTCAGCAGTGG